CCTGCGGGGCTGCCCACGCCGCCCACGGCGGGCTCCCGGCCCGGGCGCGGCCGCACCTTGAGCGAGAACTGGTAGATGGGGTTGATCTTGTTGAGGTCGCTCAGGATGAAGTACAGCAGGGACGCCCTCTCTGCCGCTGGCCGGTAGCTCTCTCTCGCCTCGTTGATTTTAACCTCTGTGATTTTGGCCTCTTGTACCTCAAAGCAGACAAGAGAGACCCAGCCGGAAATCAGGTGGAAGACCTGAACAGACATCTCCCCAGAGGAGACACACAGACGCCCAACAGGCACACGGGAAGGTGCCTGACGTCGCTAAGCATCAGAGAGATGCAAATCAGAAACACAGCGAGGTACCACCTCCCCCCAGCCAGAACGGCCGTCACCACAGAGGCCTCAGACGGTAAGTGCCGGAGAGGCAAGGAGCCCTCCCGCACCGCTGGTGGGAGTGTGATTTGGTGCAGCCACCGTGGGGAACAGTATGGAGGCTTCTTACAGAGTGAAAACGGAGCCACCATATGGCCCAGCAATCCCACTCCTGGACATGTGTCTGGAAAAGACGGAAACTCTAATTCAAAAAGACACATGCACCTCGGTGTTCACAGCAGCACTATGCACAACAGCCAAGACATGGAAGCCACTTAAATGTCTGTCGACAGATAATTAGATAAAGAAGATGTGGTATATGTGCACACAATGGAATATTATTCAGCCATAAAAATTAATGCCAGTCGCATTATTTGGATGGACCTAGAGATTATTCATGTAAGTGAAGTCAGTCAGACAAAGACAAGTATGATATCGCTTATATGTATAATCTAGAAATACTACAAGTGAATCTATATGTAAAACAGAAACAGACTCAGATGTAGAAAGCAAACTTGTGGTTACAAAGGGGGAAGTGAGGAGGGGGAGGGATAAATCAGGAGCCTGGGGTTAACAGACACTACTGTATATAAAATGGATAAACAAGGACCCACTGTACAGCACAGGGAACTATATTCAATATTCTGTAATGACCTGTAATGGAAAATAGTCTGGAAAAAAAATAACTGGATCACTTTGCTCTACCCCTGAAACTAACACAACATTGTAAATCAACTATACTTCAGTTTAAAAATTAACTGATTTTAAGAAAAGGAGCGTGAGTGAGACCAACAGCAGGTGGGCAGTGCCGGTCAGCAGAGGGGCCCCCCTCGCCCCCATCCACAGCCCTTGGCTCTGTCAGAGGCCGTCCTGGGGGACTCCCAGCAAACACCTGGGGTGCCCGCCGGGCATCTGTGCCCCTTGTCCCCACCCTAGGCTGCCAGGGGCCCTCACGTGGCTGTGGCTTCTCCTCTGAGTGACCGTCAGCCCAGCTGCCATCCCCCCGACCCCAGTGTGCTCCGGCCAGGGTGCGAGGGTGTGGGCCCCCCAAGACCATGTCTTACCTTCTCCTCGATCTCGCTGGCTGTGTGTTTGGTGGTTTCCAGATTCTCTACTAGGGCAGTGTCCCCCAGGAAGCTCCCCGACGCGGCCGACAGCCGGGCCAGCAGGGAGTCTTCCAGCGCCTTCAGGACAATCTTAAATTCATTTTGTGACTTGGTGAGGTTTGCCTGCAGGAGGGGCAGAGACCCCGGCAGGGAAATCAGCCACAGCCTGGCCTCCCTTGTTGGGGGGCCCCTCTACAGCTGCGACAGGGCCCCAGGACTCGGACCGGGAGGAACACAGCAAGCCGGGACGAACAGGTCAGGAGTGGGGCCCCCAGAACGGCCTGGGACCCCTGTGAGCCCACGTGAGTGGCTCGGGCCACCAAGGAGGCGAGCGGGGGCACTCGGGCATTAGGGCCACCCGCAGCCCTGCTGTGACTGTTCTTTCAGTGAAGCTGTCACTTGATTTCGAATGAGATTCGGGAGGTGGCTGGGGAGGAGCAGGGACTCATTCTGTCACACAGAACACATTCAGGGTGACACGTCGAGCCAGCCTCAGAGAGAAACTGCCAGACATCTCGATGTCTCATCACAGTGACCCTGCCCCCTCTCGTCTCTGAGCCGCTTGCCCTGCTCCTTGTGTGACAGTGTACCTTCAGCTGCTCCAGATCCGGGCGCTCTTTGGCCACTACGGCGGCCAAGAGCTGGTCCTCGAGCCCGTCCCTGGTGACCAGGAAGTTGATCAGGGTGCACTGGGCCTGCATCTCGGGCTTGTAGTGGGGGTTGAAGTACTTGGTGTGCAGGATCAGGCGGAACTTGGGGTGGTACTCCACCTCCTTGTCACCGATCTTAATGAACCTGGGGGGGGTCACCGGAGGAAGGGGTTAGGAGGTTCCCCGGTGACCGAGGGGCAGCAGCACACGCAGACCCCCCTTTCCCACCAGCCCCCAGGCCAGGCTGCCGCCCGGAGCCCTCTGGTCACTGGGAGTCTGACTGACTCTCCTGGTCCCTGTCCTCCTCTCTGGCTCACGACTGGCCTTTCTATAAGATGCACCTGCTTTTTCTCAGGCTGGTTTGTTCGGGTTTTATAGGAGTGTTTACCCCACTCTGGCTGCACGTCTCACCCGGGGGGGGGGGGAGCCTCTGCAGAAACGCTCTAGCCTGGGCTCCACCCCAAAGCCATTAACATCACAAAGACCCAACACACCTATTCAGAACATCCCCGGGGCTCCTGCTGGCCGAGTTCACTTTTGGGGGGCCTTTAACGTCACCCCCTGGGTATCAGCACTCATTCTGGGCCGTTCTCAGAGTCTTGGATATCAGCATATTTATCTGCCTCCTCCGTTTTGGGCTTCTGCGTGCACCTGTGTTTACCCGTGGCTCAGATCAACTCTGACCTTTACATCTGTTAAGTTGACCTGATGTTTCTAATATCGGAGTAATACAAGCTCAATGTATCAACCGATGACTGGATGAATAAAATGTGGCAGCTGCACACGATGAAATATTATTCAGCCACAAAAAAGCACATAGTACAGATGCTTGCTCCAACTCAGAGGAACCTCGAACACAGCACAGAGACGCCAGCCAAGAACAGACACCTATTGTAGGATCCCACTGATGCGAACCGCCCAGAACATGCAGATCCCTACAGACAGCAGACTGGTGGCTTCCGGGGGCTGGGGGCGGGTACGCAGGGAGTGAGTGCTTAAAAAGTAAGGGGCTCCCTCTGGGGTGATGAGAGTGTTTTGGAACGAGGTAGGCGTGATGGCTGCACAACACTGTGAATGTCCAAAATGCCACTGAACTGGTCACTTTAAAACGGTTAACTTTACGTCATAGGACCCTCACCTGAATAGAAAGGAACAGTCATACAGCTCAAGGCTGGCAAAATGCACAGAAGCAGAAACACAGAACACGACCGTTAAGGAGCGCCCTCTGCAGGTAGCTGCTCATAAAATGTTGGTGTGGAGCTTCCTGACGGGGATGCGGCCCCCGAGCTTCCAGTCTCTCCCCCGGGAGCTGGGGTTCCTCCACACCCGGCGGCCTTTTGCTGAAGCCCCGAGGCCTCTGAGGAAGCCAACTCCCTGCTGCTCCCTCTCTCGGTCCAGAGGCCAGACCCCGCCCCTGAGGACGCTGATGGGGTGAAACCCCAGAGGCAGACCCCGCGACTCACTTTCCCTTTTTGATCGTGTTCCTGCCCAGCAGAGGGTCCAGCACGGGGTCCACAGTCTCGCCAATGTTCTCAATGAGCAAGGTGCCCCCTTCTGAGACGGCCTGCTCGATGATGTCCAGGTAGCTGTGGGCACAGCACGGGGGCCACGATGCCATGGGGCCCGGTGACCCCAGGAGGCCGCCTCAGAGTGACCGGGACAGGTGACCTGGGGGCCAACGGCTCACTCCCCTCCCCAACATGTCCTTCCCCAGGGGAGCTCCGGGCTTCTACAGAAATCAGCCCTGGGCTGGCAGGAGTTGAGGTGAAGACAGAGCCGCGTGTGACTGTGGAGCCAGACAGTCCACGTCTGCGTCCCCTCCCATCGCCTGGCTGCATTGTGGCCACTGTTTCTCGAGAGGAGGGGAGGTAGATGGTGGCCTGCAGCGCCCCCGGCCGGCAGGACCAACCCAGCAGAGCCCAGGCCAGCGGGTAACCGGGGAGGGAAGAGCCTCGAGGTTAACTCTACCGTGGCGCTTTTCCCGGGGCCAAGTATCAAGAGAAGCCACCCGTGGGCCAGAGTTTGTTCCCAAAGACCCGTCCACCCATTTAACAAGGGTGAAAGGCCCAGGGCGCGTGTCCCGTCCCCGGCCGCCCGGCCGCGCACCTCTTCTGCCCCAGGCGGATGACCTTCAGCTCGCTGCCGTATTTGTTCTTGATCCACTTGATCCCCTGCAGCTGGGCGTCCACGACGAGGGGCCAGCGCTCCGTGTTGCACAGGATGGTGGCGTTCTCCGTGGACATGCGGTCGCTGGGGAGCCCCTGGTTGTTCCAGGTGGCCACGTCCGCATCGTCGGTCAGCAGGCTCAAGGGGTCCAGACCCTCCGTGGTCGGGATGGGGACCTGCCGAGGGGGCGACGCGGCCTGACTCATTGCTCAACGGAAAATGGCTCTCTGGGTAACCCTGCTATTAGATGGTGGCTGCTGGGCCACCTGAAGGTGGTGGGGGGCAGGGGGCGAAGAAGGCGTCACCCTGATGGAGCAGCCGGGAACCCAGCCAGAGAGGATGTTGGCATGGGCCACACTGGGCCACTGACTACACCCCGAATGGCTGGCTGGAGCCTCCGTCGCAGGAGTGAAGGTGAGATCTGGCTGTGACCGCCCTGCTAGGGGCCTCCCCGGATCTCCTGAGCAATGAACGTGACTGGACCCCTTACCTTCAGTTGATTTATGTAAGGGATCCAAAAGCGCTCCATCAGCTCATTTCGGTACTTCTTGGTGAAGTAGCCCACGTAGGACACGAAGGCGGAAATCAGCAGTACGTCCCCGCACAGGGTGACCCCCTGGCCCTTGTAGTTCTCCACCGATTCGGCCCAGCGGACGTTTTCCGAAGCCAGTCCTCCTACCAGCCTGGGAAGGGGCGGCGGGAGGGCTCAGGGCGGGAAGGAAGCCCGAGCCCGGGCGGAAGCGAGGACAGACCGCAAGGCCAGGAGAGGTGCGTCTCCATTTTAACCCCTGCGGACGTTCCGGTTTCAAATCCTTACCTCGCTCAGCTGTTCAGGAACAAATGTGCTTTGAGGGGAGCTTGGAGGAATGAATGCTTCAGGGAAGCAAAACTAACACTTTCTGGCTGCAGTTAGGAACATGGGACTTCCCTTCCCCAAGGCGCTGATGTCACTTGGACACTGGTGCTAGCTGACCACGTCACCCGCGGGCCGAGGATGCTGCCTGAACGTCACTGAGCACACGCTTTGGGCCGGAGGAAGCCGGGTGGTGGCCACCTGGCCCTGCACAGAGTGCAGACCCCAGGAGTCTGAGAGCGTTGACACATTTATGAAAGTGTGGGTGCCTGACGAGGCCCCCTGAGGTCTGTCTCCAGCCTCAGCCAAGCAGCCCTTCCTCCCATGGACCAAAAAACCATTCTGTCCGGACAGAGGGGAGTCCACATCCCGCTGGAGGCCAGTCATGCAGCCTGGGGACCTCCCAGGGTCCCACATCACACTGACAACAACCACTCAGCGGTCGCCAACCCATGGGAGAGGAGAAAACACAATCAGAAGCCACACCCTGGAGCTGGCGCCACCCCCCACCCTGCTCCAGGCTCCCAGCCTCGCTTTTGAAAGTAGGAAGAGAAAGCCCTGAAGCCGTGCTGCCCACTGGGCGGCCGCAAGCCACATGCGGCTGCCTGGGCTGAGACGGGCCGTAGGCATGAACACACGGCACTTCGGGGCTCGGAGCCAGAAAGGGCGCGTGAACCCTCTCAGTGATCGTTTTCACATTGATTGATGTGCGTCAGGACGATCTGATTTGGGTTAAGTCAAATACAGCATCAACACTGATTCCGTTTCCCTGTGCGGTTTCAAGGTGCCTACTGGAAACCTGTACCCGTATAAACCATAAAACAGAAGCGTGCTGAGGTGACCCTGGAGACGCTGTGCACGTGGCTGAGAGTGGGCCCTAGCGGGACCCCACCCGAAGTGAGCCTCAGTGGACACCGGGTCCCAGGAAGCCCTGGGGAAGGTCGTGTTTCCTGAAGATCACCAAGCAGGTCCCATGTGGAGGGTTACCCGCTCCCAGATGGGGAGGCGCCAGTGAACAATTAGTGGGTTTATTCTCATGACTTTGTGCTGAAAAAGTAGGGGCTGTGGCATTGATGCCTCCACCTCGGGCTTATCACCTGTGCCCCCTACAAGAGCCATTCTGTGGGCTCGTCCCTTTCAAGGGGTCTGGGGACAGGAGGGGGCCTGCGGGACTGGGGGCAGGGGGAGCAAGGCACCTGTTAGCCAACGAGATCACCCTATTGGTGGAGTCTGCCTCCTGCTGACACTTGATTTTCTCCGCGGTTGCTTTTTCAAACGCTGACGTCAGGTTGCTAAGGTTGGCATTGAGTTCCTGGAGGAATAAGATGGAAAGGCCCTGAAATGAGGGATCCTCATGGGGCCGGAGGGCGCGGAGCACAGGACGCGGGCCGCCTCCTGGGGTGATCGGGGCCCAATGTCAGCCCGCAGGCTCTCTCTCACCCCTGAATGACTCATGGCAGAGACCGAGCCAACCTTTTTAAAGGGAGACATGGACTGGCCTGCGCACAGGGGCTCCGGGGCTCACGGGGGCAGGCTGGGCGCACACTCACCGCGATCTTATTTTTGACGCGGGAGAGCTTCTCCTGTGCTTCCGCCAGCTCGGCGTTGGCCTCCTCCAGCGCCTGCCTCTTGGGGGCCACGTCGCAGTAGACCTCGTAGAAGCGCACGATGTTGATGCACCAGGAGCACAGGCCCGCGGCGGCCGTGGACTTGGAGCGGACGAACTCGGGGTCGAAGGTGGGGTTGCCCTGGTAGGGCCTGGAGGGCGACAGTGGGCGCCGGCCCCCGTCACCCCGGTCCCTTCCCAGCTCTGTGACCGTCAGCGGCTCTGGCCCAGATTATGAGCCAGAGCAGGGGGAGCGCGTTTAACTTTCTTTTGCATCTTAACAATTACATTAAGAAGAAAAGAATGAAAGAATTCTGGCCTTTGAAGTAGAATTTGGGGTGTGCACGGGAACAGGAAGTTGTGATTTGCAGTCCCATATTCTAGATGATGGAAGAAAACCAGCATTTCTATAAGCCTCTGTGTCCCAGGTGCTTCATGTAGCTGGTCATGTTTTCATTCTGCAAGGACTCCATGCAGAGGCAAGAAACGGGGGTTTGGGGGGTGGGGGTCAGCGACTTGCCTAGAGTAATGCTGACAGGAAGTGGTGGTACCGGGGTCTCTTCACCAAGTTCTCCCGTGGGGGGCCGAGTGTTAGGCGCTATTCTGAGTGCCTCCCCAGTGTTAGCTCCTGGAGCCCACCCCCACCTGGGCCAGTGTCACTACCCCATCTTACCTGGGGGCAACAGGCCCAGAGAGGCTGAGTGTCTCCCCCAAGGTGACACCGCTTGGATGGAGCAGTGCGGGGATTCACACGGCCCCAGGCGGCCCCAGAAGACCCTGTCCTGCCCACCACTGGCCACTTCTGCCTCCCCCTGGGCTCAGTGCCCAGTTTCCCAGGATCACCCGTGAGGCTAAGGATGAGGCTTTAAAAGAGGTGACGTTGCAGGCATTACCTTACAAGAGTGACGAGGAAAAATGCCCAGAGATGCAGTTAAGACGCTCTAGGAACAAGTGTTTTTAAAATGATGACAACATCATTAAGTGTAACAGACTGAGCTGTCTGCAGCAGGAATTCCGAATGGGTGACTCATAACCCTAACTGAGGCGTGGTTTGCATTTAGGTGGGGAATACAGCCTATCATTTCCTCCCTCTGGCTTATTTTACACTTTTGTTTAGGCTAATCATTAAAACAGGTTCGCATCTCTTAAACATGCTCCAGGGTGAGTGGGTAGGTGGTGGGCCAGAGTCTGCTGGGTGACCAGGAGACGACGTCTATCGCGGCACCATGTCTGATGGCAGAGGTGGAGACACGCCCAAATCCCCAACATCGCAGGAATGGTTAAGTGAGTTACGACCGTTAAAAATCAAGCTGGTCAAGATGGCTTCACTGGGGAATTCTACCAAACATACAAAGAAGAGCTCATACTGGTCCTTCTCCAACTCCTCCAAAAGACTGAAAAGGAGGGAGTACTCCCAAACTCATTCTATGAAGCCATCGTTGCCCTGATACCAAAACTAGATAAAGATGTTACCAAGAAAGAAAATTATAGGCCAGTAACACTGATCAATGTAGATGCAGAATCCTCAACTAAATATTAGCAAGCAGAATCCAACAGTATATAAAAAAGATCATACACCACGATCAAGTTGGATTCATCCCAGGGACACAAGGATGGTTCAACGTACGCAGCGCGATACACCACGTCAACCAAAGAGAGGACAAAAACCACATGATCATCTCAATAGATGCAGAAAAAGCATTTGATAAAATTCAACATCCATTTATGATAACAACTCTTACCAAAGTGGATACAGAGGGGACATATCTCAGGGTAATAAAAATTAATTGTGACAAACCCACAGCCAGCATAACACTCACGGGTGAAAAGCTGAGAGCCTTCCCTCTAAAATCTGGGGCAAGACAAGGATGCCCGTTCTCACTACTTCTATTCAACACAGTCTTGGAAGTCCTGGCCACAGCAATCAGACGAGAAAAGGAAATGAAAGGGATCCGAATTGGAAGAGGAGGTAAAACTGTCACTATATGTGGATGACATGGTACCATATATGGAAAACCCTAAGAGCGCCACACAAACACCACTAGAGCTGAAGAAAGAATTCGGCAAGGTAGCAGCATGCAAGCTTCACATACAAAAGTCAGCTGCATTTCTTTACGCTAACAATGAGTTAGAAGGGAAAGAGAGTAAAGAAACAATCCCTTTTAAAATCTCATCCAGAACAATAAAACACTTAGGAATAAATCTGACCAAGGAGGTGAAAGATTTATATACATTTATATACATGTTTATATAAATAAACAAATAGGACCTAATTACATCTATAAGCTTTTGCACAGCAAAGGAAGCCAAAAGCAAAACAAAACCACCACCTACGGAATGGGAGAAAATATTTGCAAATGATGTGACTGACAAAGGCTTAATTTCCAGAATATATAAACAGCTCATAGAACTTGATAACAAAAAACCAAAAAACCCAATCCAAAAGTGGGCAGAAGACCTAAACAAGCAATTCTCCAGTGAAGACATACAAACGGCCAATAGGCATGTGAAAAAAATGCTCAGCATCAGTGGAGTGTGTTGGAATTCATGGGGCTGTACACCCTCCTCAAGCCCCACCTTGCGACAGGCTGGGACCTGGGACCTGGGACCCTTTGCTAAAGTGCCTGCATCTAGACAAACATCTCTCTGAGCAACAAAATAAAAATAACTACATTCAGGCACAGCTGGGGCAAATTATGAACAAGATACGAAAAGACCAAAAACCCAACTGCCACTTTGGAGATGCCAGGAGCAAAGGCAGGGCCCTGCCCATGATCCCTGCACACGGCACCACCCAGGGGGCGGGCAGACCACCGAAGCCACCCCTCCGGCCCAGCCCACGGATCCGCCCCCACCCCATCTAAGTGACCATCTCGTGCCCCTTGAGTGAGGGTGGGGAGACAGCGGGTGATGGAGCTCCCTGTGGCCTTAGCCCACACTTCACCTCGACGCCTGGGCAGCTCAGGTGCAGGCAGGTCTTTGGGGTCCCACCTGGCTCTGTGCCGCCCAGACCCCTCCCCACCCCCTGCAAGCACAGGCTCCACTTGGGACCACGCGGGGCGGGGCCGGGGGCAGGCAGGAGAACACCCAGGAGGCGCAGGGACTGAGCTGGCCCCCTGGGGCGGCCGTGCCCTGACTCACTTAAACGCTTTCAGGCAGGCCTCAGGGATGTGCTCCTTGTCAAACTTCTTCAAGGAGTCCAGGAAGGTGTCCACCTTGCCCATCATGATTTTCGCAGCCTTCCAGCTCTTGTCCTTGGGGATCTTGCCCCCGGGAGCAGTCAGAATCATGACGGCGGCTGTGACGTTGACCACGGCATCCGGGGGGGACCCGAAGGACTTCAGCTCTGTCAGATTGTTCTGCCAAGACAGACGGACGGACCCGAATGGGGATGTAGCCCCGAGCAGAACCAAGAGGCCCCCAGTGGCAGCCCCCGACCCCTCGGCGTCTCCTCTCTGCTCGGGCTGGGGTCCCCCGTATCTTCCTCCTTCCCTCACCTTATTCAGAGTGTCCAGGGCCTCCTGCGCAGCCAGCAGAGCCGGCTCTGCCTTGGCCAGGTCCGTCTCACAGGCCTTTTGTTTCTCAGTGACATTCTGGAAGGAAGCCAGACAGGAAGATGGATGCAGGGGTTCGTTCAGGCGGCGTGTGTGGTGGGGGGGCACGGGCGGCATGGGGAGGGGAGGGGCGGGGGCACTGGGTCGCCCCTGGAGCCTGCCTCTCTCCTCCGAGCCTCCTCTGCCCCTCACTCAGGTCAGAATGAGCCAGGCATCCGCCGACTTGTGATTCAGGAATGAGAACTGTTCCTTCTGTGGGCTCCACTTCCAGGACTGGAGGGACCCTCGGGCCGCCCCACTCTGAGGCACCAAGGCTTTCTCCTGGCGCCACCGTGTAATCCCTCTAAAACGGACCATTTCAGTGGTACAGCTCACCCTCCCCTTCATTCATGCGTGTGCATTCATTCATTCATGCATGCATTCATTCACTCTTTGGGTCAGAAGAGGCCCTCTGAGCTTTCAGATGCCAAGCAGAGAGACCAGGAGGAGCTTGGTATCCATCAGGCAGGAGCAGCCTCTGTGATGGGAGAGACGAAGCAGCCAGCCGGGGCCGGGGGCGCGCCAGGCGTGGGGAGGAAAGAAAGAGGGTCTCTCTGCGAATAGCCTCCTGGAGAACCCCAATCCGCACCCTGCTTTAGGGACACGTGGGCCACAGCTAAGGGAACGGGCCCAGAAGGCACTGACCCGGCCGGCTGTGCTGGGCGCAGCACCTGAGCCTGCGTCCCTGGAGCCCGCCTGGGGGCTCATTTCTGGATCGGGGGTGGAGAGGGGTGGGCGCCCTGACATTACAAGCTGCATGTGAGTACTGGACGGCAGGTCCCAGAGTTCAGGGTGCAGGTGTGGGTCCTGGCTCGGACTCTGATGTTGTCCCTTGCTAATTGTGAGACCTTGGGCACATAACCGACCACCCTGGACCCCAGTGGTCTGATCTGCCTAATGGGGCTGTGGTTGTGCAGGTTACAGTGAGGGACGGAGCGGGGCTCCTGGCCGCCCGGCCTGGCCCAGGAGCTCTCCCCACTTGTGCTCCTCCAGTGGGCCATGGAAGGAGGCCACACAAAGAAACAAACGTGCTGCCGGGCCATCCTCCATCTCAAGGGATAGCAGACAATTACGGGGACACTTAGACACTCACGCACATGCAAAAGTCACACAAGGAGGGACGATGAGAAATCAACCCAATGACGTGGACCTTCAGCTAGAAGCCCACTGGGCCGGTGGTATCGGAACCTGTGGGGGCTCCCAGTGCACAAGTCTGAGGACCGGGGCTCTGACACCGTCTGCTCAACCTCCTTGTGCTCCCAGACCCCCGGCATTTTGCTAAGATGCAGACCTGACTCGGCAGAGCTGGGCTGGGGCCTGGGGGCCTCACTTCCCAGAGCGAGCCTCCAGGACGGGCGTTTCTCTGAAGGGCAGCCCTCTGCTGAGCTGGGAGCCTGTGCTTGGGAGAGAGGCCCTCCCTCCGGGTTCCCGCTGGTTTGGGCCAATTCCCAGCTTTGCTGGGGCCCCGTAGGAGATCCCGGCCACCCTGGGAAGGCCTGGCCGAGCAGAGCCGCTTGCCGCCTCCCTCCTGAAGCTGTGTCTGTCTGCCTACCTTGTTGATGACCTCCACCTTGACCTCTTCCTCGTCAGCAATGGCTTTCTCTTTGCTGACCTTCTCGGTTTCCACGCCCACCACGTGGATCAACTTGTCCGCATTCTCGTTTTTCTGCTTGAGCTCAGCCTCCTGAACCGCCAGCTTGGCTTTTAAGTCATCCACCTGGAGGAGGAGGTGAGAGAGCAGGAGGCCCACCTGGAGGAGGTGAGACAGCCTGGCGGCCTGGGGCCTGGAGGCCGCACACTGCCCTCCACTCTGCCAGGTCACGGGCCACAGCGGCCGGCTGCTTACACGCCCTGTGACTCAATTCTAAGTGCTTTTCCAACTTCTCCAAGGTGAGTATTTATTGAGCACCGACTGTGTACACAGGGTTGCAAGCATAAGACCACTTCCAGGAAGGTTTGTAGAGCTCAGTGGTAGAGCATGTGCTTAGCACGCACGAGGTCCTGTGTTCAATCCCCAGTCCCTCTGTTAGGAAGGAAAAGAAGACCCATTCCTGTTGCTCAGGGAGATGACAATCAAGGTGGCTGGATAAAAAAAAAAGTCAGTAGAGCCAGCGTGCTGAGGAGTTCTGGGGAGGCCAGTGGGGCCCCAGGAGGGAGCTTGGAGCCGGGGACGGGAAGTCCCCCGGGGAGCACGTGCGAGGCCCCGGGCAGCTGGGGGGCGGGGGCAGCAGGCTAGTGCTGGGGAGTCCTCCCCTCTCTGGATGACTTCTGCCACGAGCAGGCCCTGCAGCTGCTGTGACCCCCTCTGCTGGGCATACGCACTGTGTCCCAGGGCCACTTCTGAAAGGTCCTTTTGAGGGGAAAAAAAACACCTGCTGGGCCGGGCTCCTCCCTTGTTCCTGTCCGGGGAGGGAGCAGGCACCTTCTGGGCTCCTGCAAGCTCTGTCTTCCTTGGACACCATCCCACCACCACGTTCCCCTCCCCGCCCCTGCGGGGTGGCCCTGACCCGTGCACCACTGCCCGTGGCACAGCTCCGGTTCAGACCCAGGGCCCCCACCAGGGCTGGTGGGACTCGGGCTCAGGCCTCCCCAGGGGCAGAAGGGCTGGGCTGCCCCCCACCTGTGCCTCTGTGGCTGTGGGTTAGAGGGCTGCCCACGGAGGACATTTAAAGCCAGTGGAAAACTTAAAAATCAATACAGCCTGAAACAAAGCATGGCAGACGCCCATCTGGGCACCACAGTGTGAATGGCATTTCGGGATGGACCGGACCTCGTGGGCCACACTGGACCGGACGAGCAAATGCCACAGGGGGCCCATGAGAAGCACCCGGTGCAACGTCAGCGTCACGAAAGCGTGCAGGGTCCACCGTCCATGGTACAACCCCTGCACTCGCCCTGCTGTGAGGGGGGGGCCCCCGAGGCAGGGATCGCTTCGCGTCACACACGTGGGGGAAGGTTCCAGAACCACGTCTCGAGGCCCTGGCTCCCCTACCTGGGAGGCCGTGCTCTGCAGCTTCATCAGGCCGTTCTCCAGCCTCTCGATTTTGGCCACCAGCTCCATCCTCTTCTTGGCCAGCAGGCTCTGGTACAGTTTGATCTGCTCCAGGAAGGTTTTGGGTGTGGTGTAGTTGTAGCGCCTCTCGGTGGCCAGGTACACCTTGGACATCTCATTGACGGTCGTGTGCACGTGGGACATGAAGAGGCTGATGGAGGCCTTGACTTCCGGCTGCAAAGACACGACAGGGCCGTTCATCCCCCGGGAGTCTTGTGGGGAGCAGCCCGAGGGGAGAGGAGGCGGCTGCTGAGCAGAGTGGACCAGCAAGGTGGGCGCCCTCACTTCCTGGGGACCCAGGTGAGAGGCACCTTCTCTCTCAGCCTTGGCCGTCAGCCGTCAAATGATGCCCGAGACAGCAGGGCCTGTCGTGGCGCTGGTGACACTGCACCCCCGAGGGGCCCGCGTCCAGCAGGGTGGTTACTGTTCTCTCTCTCACGCACCCGCATATTCAGTATGTCTGAACAACCCGGGTAATTCTGCAAGCACTTATTGGACACTCCCCACTCCGGGGTTTAGTAACTCACTTCCCAGCCTCCTCTGTCCTCCGTCGGCACCAGGCTCACCACCCCCACGGCCTGGGCCCGCCCACCTGCCCGAAGACAGGCACTGGGAGCTCTGCCTGGGAATCATCCACGCAACATTAACTTTAATGCAGGTGGATCTGAAAAGGAGTTCGTCCGACACACGCTCCGTGGGCATCTCTCGCGACCCCTGCTGGCGCACGCTGGGGACGCATTCCGCCACCGCAGGAGGCATCTCCACGTTTCACGCGGGGCCTGGAGGACACACCGTGTCGGCGGCACCCTGGGGGCGTCTCCCCTGCCAGTGAACTAACGGTGGCAGGCAGGGGAATCTACCCGTCTTAAAAAACTGGGGAAGAGGTTAATTTCAGGCTTATTTCATCCTTCTTAATAACTGCATATGTGTTCAAAATAAGTAAGACGTGACAGCCAAGTGGGATTTATTTTAGGCCTGCACGTCACGCGCATCGGCCGGGTCAGAGGTCATGGCCTAAGCCAGTTAGTTTCTCATCTAGAGGTCAATTTCTAGGCCGGCAATGGGCTCAAATGGTGAGTATGGGCACCATCTTTCAATCAAAGGAAAATAGGGGGAGGGCATAGCTCAGTGGTAGAGCACATGCTTAGCACGCAGGAGGTCCTGGGTTCAATCCCCAGCCCCTCCATTAAAAAAATAAATAAACCTAATTACCACCCCCCCCAAAAAAGGAAAACATGCAACATTGTAAACTGACTACACTTCAATGAAAAAAAAAAAAAGAGAAAGAAAAAGAAAAAGAGTGTAAAAGAAAAGGAGCAGAAAAGAGAAGGTTTACATGGCCCGGTCACATTTGTCACGCCCCGAGACGCAGGTCAGAGGTGAGGGCGCTCTGTGGGCCTGGCCCCTGGGGCAGAGCCGTGTCAGAGCCCAAGGCAAGGGGGGGTCACCCCCTGAACCAGCCCTGTGGGGTCGCGGCCACAGGGGGCCCGGAACCCCCAGCTGAGCTAAATGACTGGTGCCGTAACTCGGTCCCAAGAAACCAACAAACAGCAGCCTGTCTTTGTTAACAATTTTGGTATTTCTGATGGTTCAGCATTCATTTTGGTTTGCTGCATCAAAACATCACCAATCTGGATTAAGTCGCTGGTGCCCCCTTAAATCTTGCGCCCAAAGTGAGTGTCTCACCTGCTGACTCCTCCTGAGTTCCGACTCTGTGCCTGGGGACTCACCTGAATCCCCTCCGTGTCCTCCAAGAAGCGAGCGCTGACGGACACCAGGGCGTCCTCCGGCCACTCGTGGAACCAGTCGATGGCTGTGCAGTTGACCACAGCAGGGAATTTTCTTGCTCGGACACGCAGGACGGAGCCCACGGGGGAGAAACATAGAATCACCTGGAGGCGGGACACAGAAATGCTACCGTCAGGGACGGCACTGCAGGAGCCGGGTTGTGTGCTTTTGCAGAAAGCCTGTTTAAGAGTAAAAGCTCTCACGTGAAAAGTTGTTCAGTATCACTAATTATCAGAGAAAAGCGAATCAAAACTACAATGAGGTATCACTTCACACCAGTCAGAATGGCCATCATTCAAAAGTGCACGAATGACAAATGCTGGAGAGGGTGTGGAGAAAAGGGGACCCTCCTACACTGCTGGTGGGAATGTAAATTGGTGCAGCCACTATGGAGGACGGTATGGAGAGTCCTTAAAAAACTGAAAATAAACTTACCCTAGGATCCAACAATCCCACTACTGGGCATATATCCAGAGGGAACTCTAATTCAAAACGATACATGCAGGGGGACAGGGTGCAGCCCAGTGGTAGAGCATATGCCTAGCATGCATGAGGTCTTGGGCTCAATCCCCAGTGCTGCCATTTAAAAAATTAAATAAATAAAAATTTTTAAACGATACATGTACCTCAATGTTCACAGCAGCACTATTTACAATAGCCATGTCTAAATGTCTATTGACAGATGACTGAACAAAGATGTGGTGTATTTGTGTATATATAAACACACACACACACACACACACACACACAATGAGATACTACTCAGCCATAGAAAAGAATGAAATAATGCCATCTGCACTATTTGGATGGAGCTATAGATAATTATACTAAGTGAAGTAAGCCAGAAAGAGAAAGAAAAATACCATATGATATCACTCATACGTGGAATCTTAAAAAAAAAAGACCAAATGAACTTATATACAAAACAGAAACAGACTCACATAGAAAACAATCTTACGGTTACCAGGGGGTTCAAGAGGTGGGAAGGGATAAATTGGGGGTTTGGGATTTGCAGATACTAACTACTACATATAAGATAGACAAACAGCAAGTTTATACTGTATAGAACAGTATTATGCAATATCTTGTCATAACTTATAAGAAAAAGAATATGAAAATGAATATATGTATATGGGTGACTGAAATGTTACACTGTACACCAGAAACCGACACATTATAAACTGACTATACTTCAATAAAAAGATAAACCAAGTCCTGCTGTACAGCACAAGGAACTATATTCAATATCTCGTAATAACCTATAATGGAAAAGCATATAAAAAAAGAACATACATCTGTATAACTGAAACACCACGCTGTACACGAGAAACTAACACAACACTGTAAGGGGGAGGGTATAGCTCAGTGGTAGAGTATGTGCTTAGAATGCAGAAGGTCCTGGGTTCAATCCTCAGTACCTCCATTAAAAAATGATAATAATAAATAAGTAAAAGAATCTAACTACCCCCCCAAAACAAACCAAAAATGATAATAAAACAATACTGTAAATCAACTATACTTCAATTTAAAAAAAAAAAAGTAAAAGCTCTCGGCATGGTTTCCATCTCCAAGCGTGCGGAGAGAACATTGCCCGTTCTGGGCTGGAACTGTGGCCGTGGCACTGCTATGTGACGGTGTAGGGGTGAGCCCCAAGCCCTCGTGGGGTGGTCCCCGCAAAGGGGGAAGGAGGGCTGGGTGCAGGACGGAGTGGGGAGAGGGCACCCACGCTGGGCAGGCGAGGCCCCGGAACAGGGAGGGCTGGTCCCCGGCGGGGAGGGAGGGACGCTAGCCTGCAGGTACCTAGAGGAGCAGCGCCGCCTAGCAGGGCAGCCGTTGTCCTCCGGGATGCTGAGGAGGGAGGAAGGACCGGAAGTGCTCTCAGTCCCTCAGGAGCTCGGCCAGCTTCCCCAGTGGGAATGCTAAGGTCAAGGTGAACTGTTCTATCTAAATGTGCTGTAGGGGTGGTGGGGGATACGTGCATAAAACACTTCTTTCGGCCTCGAGATTCTAACAGCCCACGTCCATCAGGCAGCCCACCTTCCGTGTGGGAACAGCCCCCAGCTCCACCCCGGGTGAAGACCCAGCCCCAGGAGGCCCCCAGGACCCCGCCGAGCCTGGCGCCCCTACCTTGAGGTGCTTGCGCACTTTGTCGATGAAGAACTTCCAACACGCCTCCCGGGTGTCCGTCAGGCCGAGGGACTTCACCTGGGGCCGCATGGAGGAGATGATGTTCTCCAGCTCCTCGTCCCCAAACAGCCCCGGGATCTCCCCCGAGGCCAGCAGGTCGTTGATCAGCACCAGAAACTGCTCCTCGGCCACCTGGGAGTCTGTCATCAGGAACACCGAGGGAACGTTCTTCACGGCCGACTTGATGTACTGAGCGCCGAGGTCGAGCTGGACCCAAGGAGGACACCCTCACGGGTCTTGCCAGGAAGATGCTCCCGTAGAAGCATCTCCCACAAGCACCCAGGACGGGGACGCCTAGAGATCAGCCTCCGTAAGAAACAGGCAGGGTCTGCAGCAGGAGAGTCAGAATTCCTTGTGACAGCCCCAGAGGGGAAGCAACTCAGGTGTCCGAGGATGGGATGGATGAACACAGTGGGGTCCATTCATACCATGGAGTATCTGTTTATCTGCCTTAAAAAGGAAGGAGATTCTGGCTCCTGCTACAACACGGAGGGACCTTGAGGACATTATGTTGATTGAAATCAGCCCGTCACAAAAGGACAGACGCGGCAGAAGTCCACTCACACAAGGTCCCCGGAGGAGTCAGATTCACAGAGGCAGAAAGTAGGGTGGTGGCTGCCTGGGGCTGGGGGAGGGGAAGGGAGAGTCAGCATTTAAAGCGGACAGAGTTTCGGCCTGGGAAGACGGAAGAGTTCTGGAGACAGATGCTGGTTCTGGCTGCACAACAGCGTGACCGTGCTTAATGCCGCTGAACTGGATGGTTAAAACGGGGAATTCTGTGTTGGGATGTTTTGCCCCCAAAACAGGAATAAGAAGCTTGAAACGGAGCACCTAAAAGAGACCCCCAAATAAATACGCCACAGGCTTGGATGGGGGAGACTTACAACTGAAAAGAGTGAGTACACTTCAAAGTAACCCCTACGCTTTTCAGAGCTCCTTTCATGTTACTAGAAGGATTTAAAAAAATAATTTGAAAAAACAATTGCATGGTCATTCTGGGAGAATAAAGGGAAACTAGTTTAAAAAAAGTAGCATGTTACAGAGCAGTAAAAATAGCTTGCTACTTAAAAAAAATGCCAATTTACATGTGTAAATTGTAAATATACATTAAAACGACTGTCAGTGTCATTCAAGTATTAACGTAAAATTTCAGGGGTTTGGTGATTTGTTTATCTATAGTGTCTAGTTTACAGACAGGACCTACTTCCGGGCCCTTGGCTTCGCTGTAGCCAGTCATTGCTGGTAGAGACAGAGGAAAACCAAGCCAAGATGTGGCGGTGAGTCTCAGGGCAGAAGGTAGAGGGGTGAGGCGAAGGCTTTGGGATGGGCTGTGCAGTGTCCCAGCCACGTCCCAGGCTGCGGGAACACAGCGGGAGGTCTGCCCCGCTCTCCCTCCATCTGAGGGCTGCTCCTCGCCCCTCCTGGTTCAGCAGTGGCTGGAAGTCAGGGAGGCCACCTGAGCTGCCAAGACCATGAGCTGGCCCCTCACTGAGCTTACAGTGTTTCTCCAGAGGGTCCAGCTCAGCTCTCTGGACTACTACTCGGGCCCCGAGGAACGGTCTCACAGAAAGAAAAAGAGCCCTCACTGGCCTGTGACTCGGGTCATGGTCCATCTCTCCCTGCTTATTGTACTGCCCGGTGCCAGACTTTGTGGGGTCACCGGGGCTCCTGAGGGACCCCCGCCCCACCCATCACCCCTTGGCAATCCCTGTTGTCTTTAAACCACCCTCCACTTTGTCCCAGAACATCACCGGGTCCTGCCCCTCCCTCCCTCCCCTGCTCAAACATCCTTGACAGTATCTTGTTTTCTTGGGATAAAGTCCAGGATTTTCCATGACGCACACTGATGCCCCTTGAGGTTGGATCCTGCCCCATCTCTGACCTCTACAGGGAGGCCCACAGCTTAGGGTATGACTTTATAACAACATTATACCATCGGGGAACACAAGTGTTATACCAAGAACATATGCGCCTCCTTAACATCTTACTGACGCTATTATTAGAACAACAATAATACAGCTTGTAACTGTTCAGGAGTCTGCCTCCCCCGATAGGATGCAAGGTCCTGTAGCCCTGTTTATCGCTGTCCTGACATTCGAATCCACAGAAGCTGCTTAATAAGTGGTAACAAATGCAAAGCCAGTTTGCTGTGGGTGTGGGAGTAGTGAATTGTGATGAAACAGATCAGAGTGGCCGCAGCTAACGCCCATGGATAAACTAACCACAGCCACGGCTGGCCCCAAAGTGAGTATCGGGAACAAAATCCTCACAAGGACAGAGTATGATGCCATCCTGGAAATAAAGCCATGCAGCTGAGCTAACAGAGCAGAACCTTTTCAGTGGAGGAAACTCAGTACAACTCTACAGCTCCCGATGCAAGGATTCCAACTACACCAAGTGCCCTTGAGGAGCTGGGGTGAACCCACTAGGTGGGCTCAGCTGACAACCTGTAAGACCCACCACACATCGGCTTGCTGCAGGAGGCAGTGTTTGGGAGACCCCTCCCCCGGAGATCCCAGGGCACCGCCGGGCTCTGGCCGAGGTCCAGACCATCCCGCTAAGGCCATCTGGCCAGGGGCTGCCTCGGAGCCACATTCGGTAGGGAGGGTCCCTCCACCCTGCCCCACCCTCCCCCCGTCCGGCATCGTCCTGGTGGCAGAAACAGCCCCCGCACCAAAGCAGAGAGGCGAGCCGTGTCACATGGTCAAATCAGCTTCATACATTCTGCATGAATTGTGTCTGACGAGCACACAGTTCCCTGAGAGAACAAGTTTTCGGGAAAAGCAATCAGTAAAAACCCTGGTGGCCTGTCTTGGGGATGGGAGACCTGTTTACACTAATGTTTATTTAATACAAAAAGCACCCTTTCCAGAACCCTGAGCAGGAGGTCAGGCAGCTAGTACTGGTTCTGAATTATTTGACCTGGAGAATCCGGAACCACGCAGCAAAATTCGGTGACCACGGGCCTGAACCAAACCCCTCTGCCGCTAATACCTGCGCCGACTCTACAGGCTCCGACCTTCCCGGTGATGGAGACCCGCACTTTCTTTTACCTTCGTCACCCGGCCTCGGACACTGGTGGAATGCCTCCCCGGCCTTTCCTGTCTAAGATGAAGACTCTGCCGCCGGTGACCATCCTGTTTTCCGTGCTGGACACTCAGCTCTCCCCCACATCCCTTCCCCGGGGGCGGATTACCGAGAGGCGACGTCTCACCTTGAGGTCGGGGATCCCGTATCCCTTTTTGAGGGTGATCTGGAACACGTCCAGCGCGCTGATGTAGGCGGCCAGGCGCGAGAGGCTCTGCTTGCCGCTGCCGCCCACCCCCACCAGCAGGGCGTTCCCCCGCGGGGCCTCCAGGATGCGGTTGATCCTGCAGATGTGAGCCACCGCATCCTCGAACAGCACCTGCGGAGACCGGAGGGGCCGGCGGCGTCTCACCGCGCATGCTCAACGCACCTCCCTCCAGGGCAGCGCGCCCGCCCCCGCCCCCACCCGCGAGCTGACGCCGGAGCCCCGCTCACCAGGTTCATGACCGCGTTGACCTCGTTGTAACTGTCCAGGACGTCCATCAGGAGCTTGTTCAGCTGAGCCACGTCGGTCACCGAGAGGTACTTGGGATCGCCGATCCCTTGAGCGAAGTGGCAGTAGATGTTCGGTCTGGCGAATAAGAGCTCCTCACCGAGGTCCTGGACGTGAGGGAGAGGATGCTCCTGCGGTTCCGGCCTGGGCCTCGGCCACACAAATCCGACAGCAGCCCCAGCACCGCCCCCTCCACCGCCCCGCCCTCGTAGCCTCCGGATGCGCCGCCAAGCCCAGAGGGCCCTGCAGAACGCTGGGTGAAATCCCCTGGTCCCCATGACACTGGGAATGAACCGACAGTCCAGGACCACCATTCTACCCCGGAAACCCAGGACCCACGGGCAGAGCACGTGGACAGGAGCAGAGCTGTCTCTGCCGCGTGGGTGGAGGGAGGTGGTCACATCCTGCTCTCCCGAGGGCCCTACCCCGTCTCGCTCAGGCCACGCCCACGCGGCAGAGTCACCTCGTGGGACCCAAAGCGGTCCTCCCCATTCTCATCAGAGCGCCCTTGCAGAGGGCGGGGGTTGCCTTGGGCCCCAGCACGTTGCCCCAGGGAGCCTTCCTGGCTCTGCAGGACGGGAGGGGGTAGGGGCATGGCTTACGTCGAAGAACTTCTTGGTGGAAGCCATGGTGACCCTGAGCAGCGTTGTCTGGTCCTTCTCGTCCACCATCTTGTCGCCGTACACTCGCTCGGCTTCGTGCAGCCAGAGGCGGACGAGGTCCAGTGGGATTTTCAGGATCTCTGCGGAAGAGAATAGGAGGCCCTGCCCCGGACGCAGGAGGGTCAGCATCCTTAGCTGCGTCAAGGAGGCAGGTGGAGCACCACCTGCGTATCAAATTACCCGTGTCCCTGAGGAGGGATCTATCTGTGAGGCTGCGGCACAGGGTCCTCTCAGGGCCAGGGATCCTGCAGGGTGTATTCTGGGCCTGAGGCACGAGGGGAACTCCGCCCTCTAATGGGGTGGACGGCGGAGAAAGGGACAAAAGGGGCTGATCACAGCGGGAAGCCCACGATGGGAGGCCACAGTGCAGGGGCTGCAGGCCTTGGCCCTGCAGTAAGCCCGCCTGTGCGTGGTCCTGGCCATTCGCTAACCGAGTGACCCGCCCATCCGGTGGGTGCTTTTTTCCCAGGCCTCTGTCCTGGGCTCTAGGAACACGGCGATTACAAGAGGGACCATGTGCGGTCGAGTGGGGAGACTAACCAGACAGACAAAATCACAAGGTCATTCCATGTGGTGGTGGGCGCTGCGAATGACCCATGTAGGGCAGTGAGGCAGAGTGTATGGGGTGGGAGGGGCCTCTGGGGGGCTCGACATTCGAGCTGACACCTGAAGCGGGAGGCGACAGGTCTGACGTAACCGCGCCAAGCCTTAGACTCCCCAGCTGGAGAATGGGGATTCGGAGATTACATGTGGTTTGGAGGAGAAAAGTGGGGATAGAAGTGGCCCAAACCCAGTTTCTGGCTCCGTCAATACATAAGAGGAAACGTCATCACCACCGTCGACACCACCGCCATCGCCATCGCCATCATTACTATCCTCACTGTCACCATCAGTATCACCACCACCACCATCACATCACCATGATCACAGTTACCAGCCCACAGGGCACTTTGCTTTCTCTCCTGAGAGTGGCAGAGGAGGAGAGCACCTCTGGACCAGGCCTTGGCCATCAGTTGGCGTGACACAGAGCTAAAAAGCAGTAGTACCTGGAAAATATTGGAGAGGTCCCTGAGGTTGAAGACATAGTGAAACTTGATGGCGGTGGGAAGAAACGTTGATGTGACTTTCTGGTGCAGGGCTGTTACAGGAAAAAGACACATCAATTCTCGTGCCCTCTTAATGGCCTCAGGAAGCGCAGAGCTTGAGCTAGTTTCTAAAGCAAATGGACTGTGAGACGGTGACAATTTAAGCGAGAAACCTGCACGGCTGAGGAGGGAGGAAGTTTGCTGCTCTACCGATGTGTCCATCATTTCTGTGGATCCAATTTCCCCTCCTCTGCCTCCCCCTCCAGCAACTGGATTTCACAGTATCGCCTGCTGAAGCACAGCATCGTTTACAAAATATTGATTTAAAAGTATAAATAAAATATTTACCAGGGGAAAGTAGGAAGCCACCACCAGCCCCAGAAGCCCTGGGTTTTCCCGACAGGAGGGGAGACGAGGCTGGCCAGCTTACCCAGGGCGGAGGCCACCAGCTGGCCGCTCATCCTCTGGACCGCCATGGGGACCGAGCGACAGACCAGGTGCTGGGTCAGGATGGTGCTGTAGATGGTCATGAGGGCCTCCTGGCCCGGGAAGCTCACGGCAAATACACAGAAGTGGCGCTGCCGGGAACAACCACAGACCCTTGTCAGGCAGTGGGTGGGGACCAGCGCAGGGCAGGGCTGCCCGCCTGGGGCGCAGGCTGTCCACGTCGCCTCGTGCCTTGCAGGCATGGTCAGAAGGGACAGTTTCCCTCCTGGTGCCTTGTGTGTGTTAAGACCCCGCTAAACACAGGGCTTACAGGACACTAATGAACTCATCCATAAAACAGAAACAGACTCGCAGACATGGTAAATGATCTCATGGTTAATGGGGGAAAGGGGGTGGGACGGGATAAATTCAGGAGTTTGAGATTTGCAAATGTTAGCCACTATACATAAAAACAGATTAAAAAAAACCCAGATTTCTTCTGTGTAGCACAAGGAACTATATTCAATATCTTGTAATAGCCTTTAATGAAAAAGAACATGAAAAGAAATACATATATACACTTACATATGCATGACTGGGACATGATGCCTTACACCAGAAACTGACACTTGGTAACTGACTATACTTCAATTAAAAACAAAATATGGCTTATCTCTCTAACAGCCAGATTCACATCACACCCTCAAGAAAAATTTGGCGGAGGTTAAAGAGCGTCTCAGAGCCTGAGCCTGGTTTTAAATTCCAGATCTCCATCTGCTTAGATGATTCATAGGTGAGGACCTGCCCACAGGGTGGTGCAGATCCAGTACAGGATATCCTGTTAAATCTGAATTTCACAGACAACAAGTAATTTTATTTTTTAAGTACACGTAGGTCCCAAACATGGAAGGTATTTGTTGTTTATCTGAAATTCAGATTTGGCCAGGCATCTGTTTTTTCATTTGGTAAATCTGGCAGCCCTAGGGGGTCACAGGGAGGGCTGGCCTGCCTCTCTATGCCCCTGCCCCCCCCAGAATGTTGTGAATGGTTCCTGCCTACCTGAAGCCGGGGGTCGATGGTAAAGGAGCCAGAGGTGGGGTTCATACACGCCACATACTGACAGTTGTGGACGTCCTTCAGCGTCAGCTTCTGCCTGTCATACCTGTGCGAGGAAGGCCCGCGGAAAGTCATGCCACCAGCCCCAGGGAGCCACCCCCCAGGTCCCACCCACCCTGGTCATGCAATAAATAGCAACTATATGTGAAATGGCCATGTGTACTTTTACTCTCAAGAAAAATCTTGAAATGGGGGCAACAGAGTGGCTCAATGTGTGGGTCTGGGTGTACATTCAAGCACTGGGACTCTGGGGAGGCTGGACGACCTCTCTGTGCCTCAGTATTCTTACCTGTGCAATGGGTCATCACAAGGACAAACTGCGCTAGCACGTGAAAACACACTCTGAAGGGCACCTGAAATAGAGCCAGTGCTCCCTAAATGTTTACCACCCCTACCGCTACCGCTGTAGTTATCAGGGTAGTGATGATCAAACAGATGAAGGGTTTCCTTGACGCCAGGGCACCGAGAGAACTCCCAGGGACTCAGATGAGTCCAGAGGCTGCAAGGAGCCTGTGCGCCTTTTCACTCGCTCTTTACCCTTTGGGTTTTCCCCACTGTTAGGTGTTTCTTTTTTTTTTCCCTTGGGAGCTGGCACCCGTCCTTGTTGATTTGTAGGAATTCTTGTAACACCCCACATATTAATCCACTGCCAGGGTCAGACGTTGTGGCTGTTTAACCCCGTACCGCGTAGGTGTGCTCGTGGTGTCTCTTTGTGAACAACGTTCCTTAAGTTTCACGCAAGTCAAAGGAGATATTTCTCGGCCGTCTGGTCCAGGCTTTTGAAACCAAGCCTTGACAAGTTCCTCCTGCCCACACACCTTTGTCCAGGCCCCGCTTTTCCACCAACCTCACAGTTTCTCCTTTTGCTTGTAGGTCTGCCCTCCACGTGGAGTGCACCTCGTCCACGTGGGAGGCGATGTTCTTCTACGCTTGCTGACGGAGCCGCTGGCCCGTCCAGCCTTCCCGGCCCTCCCGCCTCTCCCAGCAGATCCTCCTCGAGGGGGTATGGGCCGCCCTCACGGTCTTCCTCCCGCTTTTCCTTCTGGCCTCCTACCCTCACCCTCCCCAGACCTCTCCTGGCCCTGGCCAGCCCACACCACTTGCACGTCCACAGAGACGTCGAGCTTTCCCAAGGACCCCAATTCTAGGGCCCCCCCCCAAGCCCAGCTCTGTTGCCTCCCCAGGGAGCCAGCCCGCCTCCACATCACAGCCTGCCATGGCTTCACTGCTGTCCTTGCTGGGTTCCTGCAGCCCATGAGCTCTGGAGTCAGCATCATGTAGCAGGGAAAGGCCAGTGACGGAGTCAGGCTGCAGGCTTGACCTCCAGCTCGGCCCCTTGTCAGGGCTGTGACCTCCAGCAGGTGACATCCCCCCAACCCCGTGCCCTACTTCTCGGCAGTAAGGATGCTGCACGCATCCACTGACTGACTTCTGATGACATTTCTCAGGTTCCTTTGGTCTCAAAATATCCAGGTTTTGCCAGGCCATCACGGGACCCTACTTTCAAGTGATGCTTGTTTTAACTGCACTGAATGTTCTAATCTTTCCAAACTGTGAATGTAAATGTGCCACTGTCGCCTTTCAATTGTCCTTGGGAGAAAGTGTTCTCTGTCCAGCAGCCCCTGGGTCCTGGGGTCTGGCTGCCCCTGCCCTGGGCATCCTCTCCCTCCAGCTCTCATGTTCCAGCCATGATGGGCTCCTCTGGTCCCTCCATGCGCCAGACTCCCTCTGCACATGGCATCTGCTGTGTCCAGGATGCCCGCCTTGAAGGTTCCATGGCCAGTCCTGATGCAACTTCCAGCTGCCTCCCAGAGTGTCACTGACCCAGTCGCTGGGCTCCTCTGTGACTGCTCCCTTCACCCAGAAACTGTACCCCCAACCTGCCCCGCCAGATGGACACCTCAGTGGGATTAGGGCCCCTGTCCCCGCTCCACGGATGCTCCAGGCCACAGCCACCAGCCCAGGGCCTGGAAGACGCCCAGGGCATGTTTGTGGAATGGGCGAGGGGAGGAGACCCCGACTCGCCCCCTCCAGGCCTGTGCCCCCATCCCCGTAGTCCTGATTCCCAGCCCTGCACCCTCCCCCAGGTGGCCCCGCACCGCCCACTGACCAGTGCCCGTGGTCCATGTGCTGCCGGATGAGGGTGTGCGGGGCCACCGTCCCGTACTTGTCCACCTCGGGCATGTTCATGTCGTCGATGAAGTAGATCAGCTTCTTGGTGCCTGGCGGCCCGTAATTCCGCCCGGATTTCTTCTCCAGAGGCTTCTCAAGAATCCCTAGAGATGGGAGTGGGGTGGCCACCAAGGTGTCTGGTGGATCCCGGAGGGTGCGGCCCAAGGAGCAGTAGCCCTGGGCCGCGGAGGACAGGGCGGGGGTTGACTCCATCCAGCTCAGGAGTAAAGGAGGGGGTGGTGGGTGTCACCATCCAAGGCAGCAGGGG